GAAAGATCCTAGTTGACCCCAATTCCTTAGGCTTTAAGGTCCTAAAAGGGAGATATTTCCCACATGGGGATTCCTGGAGATCAGGATGCCCAAGATCAGCTTCCTATACTTGGCGTAGCATAATGTTTGGTAAGAAACTGCTGCAAAAGGGCTTGTTATGGCATGTGGGAGATGGTAAGAAAATCTCTTTGATTAAAGATAATTGGATCCCAGATGCATTTTTGGGAATGCCATGTACCAACGTCCTGGTGGAAGAGGATTGGAATGTCAACCATTTGATCTCAACAGATGGTAAATATTGGAATGAAGAGGTCAATAATAAAATGTTTCCAGATGACCTAGCCGTTAAGGTTCTAAAGATTCCTCTAAGTTCAGAAGGATGTTCTAACTTTGCTTCATGGCCATACACAAAGGGGGGCATCTACATTGTTCGGTCTAGTTACAACCTTGCGAGATCTATAGCTTTCTAGCAAAAACGTAGCGTTACTGGTAAATGATCTTCCTCTAATCTGGAGGAAACAAAAAATACATGGAGGAAGCTATGGAAAATACAATGCCCAGGGAGAATGAAAATTATCTTATGGAGAATGGCTCATAATTGTCTACCTATTGGAGAACAACTCCATCGACATTCAATCCAGACTAGGTACGAGTGCCCTTTTTGCTATAGATTTGAAATGCTGGAACATTGCTTCTTTCATTGTCATTATGTTAGAGAAATCTGGGCTGACCTAAAAACATCCTTTCATATATCTTTAATATTAAAGATGTTCCTTAATATTCGGCAATGGTTGTTGGAATGGATAGACAATGCATGTGACATGCAAGCTATGTTTTTGCCATGGTTATATGGCATATTTGGGACAATAGAAATTGTGCAAGAAATGGGGAGGGTTTGCTTCATCCGCATCGTGTGGCTCGGAAGATTAAAGCCTATATTGATTTCATCTTGTTGTATAATTTCAGCATGACAGAACCCACAAGGCGTGAGAACCAAACTTCGGTTCAAAATTGGTCTCCGTCGTTGAAAGGTTTGGTGATGGGTAATGTCGACGCTGCAGTATTCTCACAATCACGATGAATGGAAATTGGCATTATTATAAGAAATCACATGGGAGTGGTTCTAGCAGCCAAAAGAAGATATGTCAATCAGGAAGTAAATCCTTAACTTGCGGAAGCCATTGTCATGGTTGTGCAATGGAATTTGCTGAAGAAGCTGGCATACAAAGTATTGTAGTGGCTTCTGACTCTGAGGCATTGGTCACCAAAGTGAAGAATGTTGCAATGGATAGATCATAGATAGGTGCCATAACTTTTGATATTAAGAATAGGGCATCAAAGTTTGTATCTTGTTTATTTACTCATATCAATTGGTCGTGTAATGAGGCAGCTCATGTCCTGGCAAGATCTTCTGAACATGATTGTGGTTCCTGTTGGTTTAATGTAATACCTGATGTTATCAGGACCACCATATGTAATTAAAAATCGTTGATTGAATAAAAGTAGCTGCCTTTCTAAAAACATGGTTTTTCAATAGGCGTGTGCTAGGTGGCAGCCGACAGGCCGAAACCTGGGACCGTTGCCACACATCCATTAGATGTGTGATGACCCACAGTTATACGGGATCAATCATAGTATTTTCGATAAGTAAGAGTGTCGAACCCAACAAGGAGCCGAATGGATCAATAAAAAATTTTCAGTAAGGATATCATTTTAAGTGTTGTAAGATAGTTTTGATAGATAGTTTGGTAGCAAGATAATTTGGAAAAATGTAACAATTAACAAGATAGCAAGGTGCAGCAAGTGACCAAATCCTTAATTGTGCACAGGACAAACCGGTGGTACTTCATCTAGTAATTAATACGCTCTTGAGGGCACACGGGAATATCGCCAAGTTATTTTCATCATGATTCATCGACTTACGTTCATTGCTTGATAAGTGTTATGTGGGTGGATCGGAGCCGAGGTACTATCCTAACTTGAGCAAACACCTACTTACGATTATACTCTCCATGCAAGCATCCGCAACTACAAAAGAAGTAATTAAGATAAATATAACCATAGCATTAAACAATTAGATCCAATACTGACCCTTACAGATTAATTCATAAACTAGCGTTTAGGTTTCTACCACTCCCGCAAACTATCATCTAGAAACTAATGCCACAATGCCTTCCCCCTAGGCCCAAACATGGTGAAGTGCCATGTAGTCAACGTTCAAATAACACCACTAGAGAAAGAACAACAAAATATAATATCAAAACACTAAACGGTGATCAACTTCACATGATTACTAATAACAAGACTTATCCCATGTCCTCGAGAACTAATGTAACTACTCACAATTCATCATATTGATAATGATCAGTGCTATAAATATATGTTTAACAATATAAACATAACAATCTTCCACCAGTTAAATCAACAAGCATCAACTAAGAGATGTGATCAATACTACTAGCACCCCAAGGTACCAGTCTGAGGTTTGATACGAAGATTGAACACAAACGATGAAGTAGGGTCTGGATATGAGATGGTGTTGATGACGATGATGATTCCCACGATGAACGTAGTGTTGGTCATGATGAAGGCTTCAATTTCCCCCTCCCAAAGGGAAGTTTCCTCGGCAGAATCGCTCCGCCGGAGAGCAAAAGTGCTCTGCCCAAGTTCCGCTTCACAGACGAGGGCTGAAAGTCCCAATACTTATATTTTTTTCTAGGGTAAATGGGATTTTATGGCCAAAGGGAATCAGAAGGCGAACCTCCAGGGCCCCAGATGGACATGTGGCACAGCTGGGGGTAAGCCGCGCTACCTGTCCATGTAGCTCTCCCGTGACCCCCTCTGGTACTTATTTTCTCCAACATTCTTTATACATTCCCAAATAATTCTCCCAAAATCCATGCTTTGTTTTGAACTCCATAGAATTGCTTTCTCTTCTAATGATATTTTAGGTCTAGGATTTAAGTTGTCGGTAATCTCTCTCTCTCTCCCTCTCTCTCTCTGCATGTGTGTGTAACTTTCATTTTAAAAGAGTAAATGCATTGGAATTGCACCATAATGTGGAATATATAATTGAAATAAGATAAATTATAGTAGAAAATAATGATGCAAAATGGACGTATCAGTGGGCTCACCCCAAACATTCAAATCCAAGAAACGCTCGTCTCATGTCTTGTTGTCCTTGCTCTCTACCACCAGATCCACGCAAAAAAACAATCTTCGTCCTCTCCATGCACAAGCTCAGCGTTGCCACCCGCTCCCTCGAGCCACCGCTTGCAGTAGGGCGTCCGTTGTTTCGTGGCCTCGTGCGCGCCGCTCACAGCTCGCTAGCGAGGTATACATCACCAGTAGCGCCCGATCGTCGTCAGTCGTAGCAAAAACATTGTTGGTCACAAAAAATTGCCTTGGGTTGTAGCAAATGTCGCCCAAGTCGCCGCTCACGCCCGCAGTTGTTTGTATGCCCTTGTAGATTTTTCCGCACGGATGTAACTCTGCCACTGCCAGTTGCAACTCTCCACCGGGCATCCACCAGTGCTGAAGATGGCGGTCAGGTGACTCTGCGATCCCGACGAAGATATATTCTGGAACAGACGAGAGAAGATGTTGGAACCGATAGAGAGGAGAGTTGCAACCAGCGAGAACAGATGCTGGTAGCTGCAACACCATTGCCGTCAATACTGGAACCTACGACGGTATTTGTTAGGACGACCGAGAGTGGATGCATTATTGACTCGTCGGTCATAGCTTCTTGTGCGCCGATTGCAGCTTCTGTCGTCGACGTATGCGCCTTCTGTGGTCGATAGTCGTAGGAGGGGCCCCTTCGTCACAGCCCCCTTGCCAGTGAGGTTGCATCTCCTGTTCGCCACGGTTGCAGCTCCCCGCGCCGCTAAATGTAGCTTCTGCCATCACAATTGTAGCACGGAGCGCCGCCATCGTAGAACCTCCGTGACAATGGTTACACCTCCTTCGTGTCGACAGCGGTAGCCGCATCTGGTTGTTGGCCACATCCACCATGGTTGTCGACGTAGGTCGTCGACCCCAATGTTGGCCAACAACTAATCATCGACGTCGGGGCTCCCCCTATGTAGCGTCGCCCCGATCACCTCTCTCCCTTCCCCGTCTTCTCTGCAGCTTTGTCTGGGCATCTCCCATGCATCACTACCCCCTGCCCACTCGTCTTCCCTGTAGTGTGGGATGCAGCGCACAACAACTACCATGGCCGCGCCACATGGGTTAGCTCACGGAGAGGGATGTAGGTCACCCATGGTCGCCGACGAAGGAAAGAATAGGGAATGACTAGTTGTGAAGAGGATATGGAATGAGCGGGGTGTGGATCCTACCAAAACTTGGCACGTGCAGAGCTCAGTTTTGGCCGTAAGATGTCACTTTTTTTTTTTGAAATAACCGTAAGATGTTACTTGATCTGATGGCACGCACGTGACCGGCCAAGCGTTCTGCAGGCCGGCCGTATGGAATCATTTATCTTTTAAATACCATAATTTTCTAAATGTTCTGTCCGTCTGCTGTGTATAATCTTATTACGGAGGAGTTATGAGCTGACCAAAAGCTCTCTTTGTTGAAGGCATGGTGTTTGAAATTCGAAGTTTTTCAAAACTGATACGCACACGCCTGCACAAACAGAGCATCCTTTTTCGTTTCCGAACCTGTTCGCAGATCTCCTTGCTAATTAAAGAACGACTTGGTGCCTGGGTCCTCACCCAGTCCACCACACCGCGTAAAAGCGTCCCCCAGCCCCAAGCCAGGTTTACAGTGAATCGCTCCCAACCGCCTGAGCTGCGACGACGCTTCCTCCCCACCCCTTCTATATATCAGCAGCCCTCGTGCAAGTGCAGCCTCTACTTCCGCCCACCACGCCACCGAAGCTGCCTAGCCAGCCTACTAGGCTTTTCAACAAATTTAACTCTTGCGCGCACCGGAACTCTCGCTCGTTAGATAGCGGCGTCGGCGGCCAGCTCGCGAGGCAGCACAACTCCACAACCATGCAGACGCAGTCCCGTCTCATCATGAACCCCAACGGCGGCGTCGCCGGCTACGAGCCCGCGGCGGCCGACGAGCAGCACGAGGCGGTGCTGAGGGAGCTGACGCACGGGCACCAGCTGACGGCGCACCTGCAGGCGGAGGCGCTGCGGGCGCTGCGCGGGCAGGGCCAGGCCGAGGCCACCGCCACATTCATCCTGCAGGAGGTGTCCCGCGCCTTCTCCGTCTGCATCAACATCATGGGCGGCTCCTCCCCGGCCGCGACCCCGACCACGCCGCCACCGGACGCGGCGGCCGTCGTTGCCAGCGGCGCCGCGAGCGGGCGCCGTGCTAGAGATGACGGCGTCCCGAGAAAGTAAGTCGCCTAGCTGCTAGTACTACTACTACATACCTGCAGTAGAGTAGAAGAACATGATCGAGAAACAAAATAGGTCGATTATGTGGGGTTCTGATCGTGCGGAGTGCATTGTTTCTTCAACAGAGTAACAGTGACTTCCTCGCCGTACTCGGACGGGTACCAATGGAGGAAATACGGCCAGAAGAGGATCATGAGGACAAGCTTCCCAAGGTCAGTTCATTTCCATATATCTCGGCGTTCCTGTTGCTTATCTTATCCAGATAACTAATTAATCAACGGATGATGAGTGATTAAGTTGTCATGTCGCTCTAACAAGAAACGAACATGCTCCTAAAACTTGTAGCTAAGGTTTAGATCGTGACGCTTGTAGAGAGCGCGTACGGGATAATAGGAAAACGTGCAAGATTAGGTTCATTCCACGCGATGGCACCGGGAGATCCGGAAAGGGAAGCGCGCAAAGGACAAAACGCAAAATGTTGCGCGCTTGCCAGGCAGCGACCGTGCGCGCCTCAAAAAGGATGCTTGATCCTGATGAGCACCCGATCGGATCCCCAGTTCCCCACACGGCCACACGTTTGAAAGCATCGGCAAAGTAAAAGCCAGTTTTGATGCTGACCCTGTTTTCTCTTTTAGGTAAAGAGAATGTTTTCTTGATCATCCACAATTTTCATGCCTGAAAGTTACGCTTTTTTTTATTTTCATGCCTGAAAGTTACGTTTTGTGGCGCGCGGGGAGCGGGATCCTCGTGTGTGTTACTGTGTGCTAATTACCACGGTGAATGATTATTGGGTCGTTACTGATTTGACGTTAGTAGTAGTATTAGAGGCATCTCCTTACGTCACCAACCGCTAAATAATTGCTCTCAAGCGACGTCACCGCGTATTGCCAGCTAGCCGTCATGTGCTAAGCCTAAGATGAGACAGAATACTCCTCCTACCTAATAATACTCCTGCTGGACATGTGTAAAATAGACACTAAGGGGCTGTTTGGTTCTAGACCTAACCATGCCACACTTTGCCATACAATTTTGCCACACTTGCCTAAGGTTAGTTCTTCAAAATGAGAGCCATAAGTTGGCAAACCTAAAGGAATCTTGCCACACTTTTTGAGTGTATGAGATGTGGGACCCTAGTGTGGCTTGCCTAAGGTGTGGCTTGAACCAAACACCCACCTAAGTTAGTCAAACTTGCCTAACCTTAGGTTTGGCAATCTTAGGCAAACTTAGTCTCAAACCAAACAGCCCCTAAAACGAATCTTAGTTCTTACTCCTACTTGTGTACGTGTACACGCAGGTGCTACTACCGATGCTGCTACCACCGCGAGCGCAGCTGCCCGGCCACGAAGCTGGTGCAGCAGCAGCCGCCGCAGCAGCGCGGCGACGGCGAGCAGACGATGTACACCGTCACCTACGTCCACGAGCACACGTGCCACAACATGGCGCCGCCCGAGCCCGAGGCGGCGGCACGTAGCTCCACGCCCGACCCGCTAGGCTTCTCTTCCGGGCTGCAACCGAGGCAGCAGCAGTGGGGCGGCGCCGGCCTGGACCGCGGCTCCAAGGACGAGCTCGAGCGGCAGGCGCTCGTGTCGTCCCTCGCCTGCGTGCTGCAGGGCCACCACCAGAGCTACCCCGGGTCCGGGGCCGGCACGCCGGACGGATCGCCCTCGCAGGCCCGCGCCGGCGACTGCCCGTCCGCGTCCGGTCTCTCGCTCGATGCGTCCGACGACGTGGGGCTGGACGTCACGGACTACGGCGTGACGGACGCGCTGTATTTCGCTGCGTCCTCGTCGTATGGGCCAGGCGGCGACGGCATGATTCCTTGAGGGGCAGCGTGACTGATCGTGTCGATGATATGTAGATTGAGTTTCAGAGTGTCTACATGAGAAGCGCGAACGCAGCGGTTTTTTCGCGGGTGTTTACGAGGATGGCACACCGCTTGTCAGCCTACTCTTTTTTTGCTTGTCAGCCTACTTAACTACTCCAGCTATGTTTGATGTACGTGTACGTACAGGCCATATACAGGTCACCCTGTCCCTATATATATGGTATTTGTAAGATCTAATATGTCGTGTGTGCTTCTCCAGTCAATTTTGATCAAGCTGGAGCTTTCAACCTGATGATTTCCCCGCTTTTGTTTTCTCCCCTTGTTTTCCTCTTTGGTTCATTTTCCTCAGAGGTGTTCTCATTTATCGGGTCTTCCTCCCTACTGCATTCAGTAAACACTTTATTAGAGTATATTTTTCATCTTCACTAATTTTCAATTTGTTTTAGTCTTTTAACCTGATTTTCTCTCTCGGTATTTTCTATTGTTTTTATCTTCTATAAAACTATTTTCTTAGTGATTTCTTGCTTAAAACGATTACCAAGAAATACTATAGACCAAGCACACAATGGAGTTGATTCGAACAAAAAACATGGTAGATTCAAATGGAAACGATAGTTGGCTAAGCTAAAATTCTATTAGAGCACACTAAAAATGCAATAAACTCTGCGTAACACAATGCAATCGACTCAGTCTACAAATGCACACATTCCAAAAGGTGCATTACAAACTAGTATTAAATCATAGTATTAGTTAGTGCAAATTTTTAAATACACAATAGTGCAAAATAAAATAGATAAAAAATCGTCAATATGAATCTTGTTTTGAATATCCGATTGAAAAAAGACAATAGTGAAGTGGTTTTAGAATAGCACGTTTAGTCCAAAAGCAAAAGTTTTAATAAGTTTCTAAGTCACATTTTTGGAAAGTTGGTATCAAATATTCTGGAAACTAGCTCTTTTCAAACAAATATATTGGAAGCTACCTCTTTTCAACCAATAAACCTAGTGTGTAAAAGGGTGGCTTAAGAAAATGAACCGTAAGTTAGTAAGTAAGAACAGGTGAAATATAGAGAACTATTAAAAAAATAGAAATATTTACTCATATCATAAAAAGTTAGCGTGGTTATTAAAATAGTTACGAAACTTGTACTATCTTCTTGTGCAAGATTATTTATAACACATTGATGAGCTTGGAATAGGACGTAGAGAATGATATTGGGATCATTATAGAAATTAGATGAAATTATTTCTAGATGTGTGGGGCAAACTAGAGATTTGCACTTTGGTCATCTAAATGATGGGCAGGTGAGAGGTAATTTACATCTATTCTAAAAGGAAATATGGCACATCGATCACATAGATGTGCAAGTTTTTTTTATTCATGCCAATATTCAGATATGTGTGTATTTCAGAAAATAGCAAGCACCTTTTAAATTTCAAGAAACTTAAGAGCTACGGCCCATTCGGCTTCTAGAGGTTTGGTGAGGGTCAAGGAAGGTTTTTTTTGTCATAAGTTCCTCCAAGACTAGGAATAGTATGTGCACAAGATCTTTTTGCCCAACACATGGTTGAGGGCACTTAGCCAACAATATCTGAATTTATATCATATCGCTTAACGGCAACATGTTTCTGTGGTTGATGTTTTTTTAAGCATACTAATGAAATATTAGCTTTTGGTACTCGCTTGTTGGTAATAAGCGGATGGCCTAGTTACACCTCATGAATAGGTTGGTGAGGTTTAACCTATCACAAGAATTCAATGCCCTCCACTGAAATTTGTACGAGTTGGGTGTCTTCTCGGTGCGATCTATGTATGCAAACATGGTCAACAAGGGGTACATGTTTCATGGGTAAAACATTTAGAAACTCAAGCTCCCGCTGAAAATCAAGAGCTTTATGTGATATCTGTGTAAATGAGTGGTCTTGGAAAGCGACAACTTGGCGAAACACAGATGCCAAGGTTGTTAAAGTATTGTTATGACTAGGAGGAAACGATCCACCACTTATTTTTCTAGTGACATTTTTCATGACTTGTAGGCCATATAGTTCACATTGGTTTCAATCTTAAACGACCCACAAGCTGACAAGCATCACGAACATGTTCAGAAACTGGTTGACAGGTTTACACCCAATGTTTAAGGCTTACATCCATGTGAAAGTTGTCATGGTGATTTTCTTTTAACAGGATTAGAGTTCCAATTTTTTGCAGGCCATCTACAAGAGGATATCCACTAGATCCATATGTGATCTTCACCTCAACTTGTGAAGGCGGGAGAGCCTCTGTTCCCTGGGTGCAACCACTTAGCGATTGCACCGCGGGCTTTGTGCAACTAATGTAGATGGCGTTCTATTAATAGGACCAGTGTGTGTGGTTGCACCATGCATGTAATCCATATTACTTATTGGTTGTCTTAGCCTTATCTGGATCATATGAATTTACCTACACATGATGCATTGTCATAACGATGGTTGCATGTTTTAAACTTTTAATCGATGTTCATACCGAGGCATATCAACTTTTTTCAAAGAAAAGGAAGATTGGTCCGTTTGTGCTTATCTATTCATACTCGACGAGTTGTTATATAAAAAAACAAGGACCCCCAATATAAAATTGATGCCCTTAGGTACGTCGGATCCCGATCAAATGCATGGCAATTACTCGCTGCAGCATGACAATTTTTTACACTACAAGGCAATTTTCACTTTAGAACATGGCAAATTTTATACAACAACATGACAAATTTATCTGTTTTCACATGACAAATTTGGAGCCTTCACTCAAAACGTTAAAGATATGATGTCAGATTTTTAACATTTCCCAAAAAGAATATGCGCATCAAATCACCTCTAAAAAAGAAACGATAAACAACAGTTATGGAAACTTGGAAAGGTGGCCCGGTTCAATCTTCCTTTATGGAAAAGACGAATCAAATCAAAGCATGTTGAAAATAGACACGTCTCATAATTGCGGTGTTAACGACATACTACTGCACACGTAGCCAGACATATTTTCCACTGTCCGTGCGCAGATGATCGCGACCATTGCATTAGCCTTTAGCCAATGTGACCGTATCCATCGGCAGTGTTTGACCGACGGACTTCGCTTATCGTGCGACCGTTGCACGCACAGGCCAAGACCACGGACAGGTGCGTTGGACGTGTGAAACTTGTGAAGTAACGGCACGTACGTCGCTCGCTCGTAGGTCGCACGCCGGAGCCCTGTACAAGCTCCTACTTTCCCGTGCGTCTCGTCGTTTCCTGGGCCTCCGCTCCGGGGGTCCATGCAGCGCGCGCGGAACGCGACGCGGCACTAGCAGCCGGGCTCGTCCGAGTCCGACCGTGACATCACGGGCGCGCGCGTCACGCTCCGCCGCCGCGTCGACGTCACGCGTGTGTGCGCGTCGGCTGGTGTTCATCGCCCTCGCCGTCCGATGCCCGGGGGGCCGCGGATCGCGTGGCGCGGGAGAGCTCCGGCCCCACGGCCGCACGTGATAAGCGTTGAGCCGCTAAAGCAGCACCTTCATACGGGCTTCCGTTTCCTTCCTGCCTCTCACCGTCATCACGCTTTTATATTCCTTTTTGACAACGAGCTCTGATGGGGCTGACAGACAAATGGTACATGGACCATATGGGCCGGGTCTGTTATTTGCACAGTGATTCGTACCATCTTTTTTTGTCAACGATCGTTTTATGTCCAAGCATCTTCATAATATCGCGGCCCGGGGCCTGTATCGCCCAACAGACTCCTAAATGCACAGTACGAAAAAACAAAAATACAGCTCAGGTATGGCCTGGCCAGTTTAACAGCTCAGGCCTGGCCAAGGCAGGCCGAAGCACGGATGCAGCAGCTTTGTAGCTGGGTCCTATAGCTACAAATGGCCCAGTGCTACTCATAATTAAGAGGAAACGCAGAAAGCCAACTGGATCAATATGGCTTGTGTTCTGTGAGTGAAATATAAAGTGAGATTCAGCGATCAGGAAATAAATGGTTTTGTGCCTTTGAGGGGGGCTCGACAGGGGACTCTTTGTCACCATATTTGTTCTTAACTTGTACTGAGTAATTATTGAGTTTATTGGCTCATAGAGAGAAGGTTCGTGATCACTTGGCAAAAAAGAGAGAAGGTTCGTGACACTGAAAGAGCAAGGGTTTGCGGAAACACATGTCCATTTCACATTTACTTTTTACCGATGGTTCCCTAATCCTTGGGATCGGGGTCAGTTTCGGAAACATCCATATCCTCTCGTGATGGGTGAGCACGCGTAGCGGCACCCACTTGATCTCCCTGCTCCGGCGAGCCCTGCACCCCCTCTGCACGGATGCAGGGCCCCCTTCGTGCCCTCTCTCGGCCCCCGCAGCCGCGCTTCCTCGTGCTCCCCATCTTTCCTGCGGGATGGATTCTCGCCGAAGTTCTCAGCCCAGGTCCTCGATGATGGCGGCGACGCATGTTCTGTTTGTGTCGAGTGTCGATCTTGTGCCCTCACTCTAGCCACCCCCCTTGGTGTCCACGGTGGTACCCTCTGTCGTTGCGCCCTTCCCCCTCCCTCCGATGTCGTGTGCACCACCTCACCACCTTCCACCTCGTGGGGCTGAGTGGTGGAGGACGACGTGGAGGTGGTGCTGGAGTTACCACCGGGGGAGACAAGCATTGCTTCATGCGATCTCGATCTGGTGCCAGCTAGCCTGCTCATGCCCGGATCCGATGGGATTCCCGTGGGGGCCGCAAAAAGTGTAGTTGGAGGTGTAAATTACTCATTTATGAGGCTAAACTTGTTTTACTTCGTGTTGGTGTCCTGGATATAAGTGGAGATTCACAGGTATTTATGGGGAGCCCAAGATGGAGAAGGAAGAGACATGGCGGCTTCTGTGTAATTCGCATCACCAGGAGAAGCTCTCGTGGGTATGCATGGGGGACTTCAACGAGATCCTCTACAAATTTGAGAAGCAGGAGGGTGTGCCGAGAGCACAAATATATATGGACCGCTTTCATGATGCCTTGAA